TAAGTAACAAAATTGCTCTTTTGGAGCAAAGCTTTGAGTCAGTTTCTAAAAGGCAGAACTACAATTCAGGGCAGTACATCTCATTTCTAATGCAAGAACCAAGTTCATTTTAGCTACATCTATCCAGAAAGATTAGAATTAGAATAATTAACAATGAAACAAAATGCATGCATATGAAACATGCTTGAAAGAATATATTTTTTCCTCTTAATGATATTTTTTTCAGGTGAGTCCTATTCCAAAACCAAGTGGTAGGAGTGAACCACAGAAACACTATAAAACTGATTTTCTCAATGAGGAGTAGCTTAACAAGACATTTTATAAAAGATTCTCTTGATCTTTGCCAATAAAAAAAAAAGGAAGTGGTTCCAATATCCCTGACAATAAATGCACCAATGTGGAAAGCATTTAGGATGGGCAAGAAGAAACAGGGATTATCTTCCTACCTCCAGTTTGTATTAGCAGCTTTGATGTTCTGGTTTGTGGGTTGGTTTCTGGGAGTTACCTTCTGTCTTAAGGACCCCACATGGTTAACAGGAGGTCTGTAACCTTAATGCTGAATCTGCAGTCCCCAATTCCTGGGCCATGGACTGGTACCTGTCTGTGGCCTTTTAGGAACCAGGCCTCAGAACTCTGCCTTCCCCCCAACACCTCCTAGTCCATCCATGGAAAAATCATCTTCTGTGAAATTTAGGAACTGGGCTGCACAGCGGGAGGCAAGTGAATGATGCTTCATCTGTATTTACAGCCACTCCCCATTGCTCGCATCAACACCTGAGCTCTGCCACCTCCCTGTGGAAAAATTGTCTTCCATGAAACTGGTCCCTGGTGCCAAAAAGGCTGGCGACTGCTGCTGAAAGTAACTCAATTCCTTCTTATTTTTTTGGTGTATTCACAGAGTACCAGAAATGGGTTTTCTAGTCTGACCACGGGCTCTAAAGAGTACTGAGAAGGCTTGAGAATGGGCTACCAAGGAGGCGGGAAGGGAGCAATGACCTAAACACTGAAAAATGGAGAATACATAGAGAAACTTGGCTTTTATTAAAAAAAAAAAAATCCTTATGAGAAAGGAACATTGTGAAAGTGTGACAAATATAAAAGCTCTCAGCCCTTTGTCTAGTTGAGTAGTGCATGATTGTTATTCTATATATTCTGAAAGCACCAACAGCAGAAAAGACATTCCCTAGGATTCCCTGACAAAAATACACTAAGTGGTAGCTCTAAGTCTAGAGCTTATGACTAATACTGAAGAAATGCAGAAACTTTTATTAGAAGGTGAATTTTACTGGTTCCCTGGCTGTAATTATAGAAAAATTTAAAGATTCTGAGATTTGATAATGTTCCCTGAATGTTCACCCAGTTGGTTATGTGACATGAGAAAAGAGATTCCTATTTATCCATGTGCACAGTGTGTGTTTATAAGCAATGGTATTGATATAATTATCAAAGTCACATATGGAAATCAGCCTTCCAATTCAATAATCAGCTCTCTGCACATTAACAAGTTGGCACCAACGGCAGCAGACTAAACTCTCAGCACTGACAGGATGTCTGAGGATGATTGAGGATTATATACCCTGGCTCATAGAACTTCATTAGGTTTGCACAGTTTCAAGATATTTCCCTCAAAAATTAACTGGAACCTAACATTTAATCTAAGCTATACTTAGAAATACTGATATTTAATTTTGTGACATCTAGTTTATCATGAGAATGACAGAAATTTAAAATGAATATTTGGCTTAATTTTTTTCAGCTTATATAAAATCAGTTTTACACAGTCTTTATTTTTACAAATAAAAAGAAAATCATATTGTTAATCATGCTGCTCATGTAATGCTCCTGTATGTTAAGTCATTGTTTTTTTGCCACATGAATATATTTAAATAATATAATTAAATACATTATTATTAGCAGACATGCAAACTAATGAATGTCACTAAATAATGTCACAAAGCCCACAGAAAAATATTCTATAAAATTTATTGTTCATGTACTCTGACTTCTTTGATAAAATTATTTTCTATGATTTGTACAAACTATTTTTCACATACAGTTCAAGGCACCATTTTTATGTAGACACTCATATTACTAAAGGATAAGACAGCTTTATATTATCAACACAGTTTCTTTTTTTAAAGCATTTTCAATCAATCTCTACTATCTTTTATTCTTGACAATATAAAGAAGATAAAGCACGAATGCATAACCATTTCCTTTTTCTGAGTATTTTTGCCTATTTCCGCAACTGTGGCAATCAGCAAGTAAATGTCTCAGCCATAATTTAGTCAAATGTCTCAGCCTAAATTGCCTTAGGAATGCTAAATAATGGATGAGATTTTAATACTTCTGACAACCTCAAAATACTGAGTTCTTGAATAACTATAGTCCACTAAACTATGTAATCAATTACAGTCATGTGCCATATAATGATGTTTTGGTCAACAACAGACTCCATATACGGTGATGGTCTCTTAACATTATGATGGAGCTGAAAAATACCTACCACCTAGTGACACTGTAGCCCATCGCAACGTCATTGTGCAATATGTTACTCACGTGTTTGTGAAGATGTTGGTGTAAAAAAACCTACTGTGCTCCCAGTCAAATAACAGTCTAGCACATACAATTATGTACAGTACATAATACTTGATAATGATAATAAAAACTATGTTATTGGTTTATGTATTTACTATACTATACTTTCTACTGTTATATTGGGGTGTACTTCTTCTACTTATAAAAATTAAAAGTTAACTGTAAAAACAGCCTTAGGCAGGGCCTTCAGGAGATATTCCAGAAGAAGGTATTGTTATCACAGATGACAGCTCCATGCATGTTACTGCCGCTGAAGACCTTCCAGTGGGACAAAATGTGGAGGTGGAAGGCAGTGATATTGATTATCCTGACCCAGTATAAGCCTAGGCTAATGTGTCTGCCTTAGTTTTTTTTTTTTTTTTTTTTGAGACAGAGTCTCACTCTGTTGCCTAGGCTAGAGTGCCGTGGCATCATCATAGCTCATAGCAACCTCAAATTCCTGGGCTCAAGCGATGCTTCTGCCTCAGCCTCCCGAATAGCTGGGACTACAGGCATGCGCCACCATGCCCGGCTAATTTTTTATATATATATTTTTAGTTGTCCGGCTAATTTCTTTCTATTTTTGGTAGAGACGGGGTCTCGCTCTTGCTCAGGCTGGTCTCGAACTCCTGACCTCAAGCAATCTACCTGCCTCTGTCTCCCAGAGTGCTAGGATTACAGGTGTGAGCCACCGTGCCCGGTCTCTGCCTTAGTTTTTAACAAAAAAATTTTTAAAGTTAAAAAAGCATTGTTAAATTGAAAAAAGCTTATAGAATAAGCATATAAAGAAACTACTTTTATACAGCTGTACAATGTGTTTGTGTTTTAAGTTAAGCGTTATTACAAAAAAAGCCAAAAAGTTAAAAAAATTTAAAAAGGTTATAAAGTAAAAAAGTGACAGTAAGTTAAGGCTAATTATTTTAGAGAAACATTTTTTATAAGTTTCGTGTAGCCTAAGTGTACAGTGTTTATAAAGTCTACAGCAGTGTACCGTGATGTCCTAGGCTTTCACATCCACTCACCGCTCACTCCCTCACCCAGAGCAACTTCCAATCCTGCAAGCTCCATTCATGAGAAGTGCGCTATACAGGTGTACTTTCTTTTTTTTTTTCTCTTTTATGCCATATTTTTACTGCACTTTTTCTATGTTTAGATAAATAAATACTTACCATTGTGTTACAACTGCCTACAGTACTCAGTACAATAACATGCTTTACAGGTTTGTAGCCTAGGAGCAATAGGCTATACCATATAGCCTAGGTGTGTAGTAGTCTATAGATCAAGGTTTGGGTAAGTATATTCTATGATGTTCACACAATGATAAAAATTTCCTAATGACACAGTTCTCAGAATGTATCTCTTTTGTTAAGTGATGCAAATGAAGGAGGAAGTGGAGGGCCAAATTGTTAACATGGCACACCCAGCTTATTTGATGGTTGGTAGACTTCAGGTGTATGCTGGGCTAGGCAGCGATGTATATATTATCAGTTTTGTTTTTAATATCACTATTAATTGCAGTTCAGTAAAACTAGATCATCTTTGGACTTTAATAGTACACGTACGTATCCTTTACACATATAATAATTGTGAAGTAGAAATGAAAGATATTTTCTACTTTAGTTACGTCATTTTAAAATTTCATTATACCTATACACAGATATATAACTTCATTAGACATAAACTAGACACATGTAAATGTTAGCCAAGCACAAAAATGTGATCATCTCAATATACTGTTACTCATTTGTATTTTTCAATGCTATCACTCCCCTTTTATGGCTACGAATACTAAGGTTTAGTGATATTAATTGAGTTACTAAATATTTATAGCACGTAAGTAATGAAGCCAGGTTTGTAACCAAGACAGATTCTGGTTCACGTTACAGTGCTCTTTCCACCAAAGCATATTTCCTGCATTCAAGGATTTAGTTTAATTTGTTGTTCATGTTTGACTTGGATACAGAAGGAGATTTACTGTCATGACAGAGCTTTGGAGTTCATTCCCAGATCCTATTTTCCTATCCCATCATTTTGCATGGGAGGCAAGTGAAGGCCAGTAAGGTGGAGTAACTTGAGAAAGCACACAGAGATAATCGCAGGACTGGAACTCTAGCCCTGCCCTCATCTGGACGCCACCTAGATACAAGGACATTTTATCTGGAAGATCACAGCTTAGCCAGCTTAGCCTCAGGAGACAATCATAAGGATACTTCAGTGCGTATATCATATACATTTCTCTAGGCATGCTAAGAGTACATTTAATTGAGATATATTTTAATTTTACTTTAGAATACATTGTTAAAATTATCTTATTAAAATTCTCCAACCAAAAACAGCAGCACATTGGCAACCTAATACATTTCAGTCAAATGAGGAAAATGTGATGCCCCAAGGAACAGATTTTGCAGGGAAGTTGTGCTTACCTTCATAAGTCCCACTTTCTAGGAGAGCACCACTTTTCTCCAATTCCATAAAATCTTCAACAGTGATGAAAATATAGTCCACTCCAGGGACCTCACCCTCCTTATGTGGCCTTGTGGTGCCTGAATAAGGGAAAGTAAAAACAGAAGAGAGACTCTAAATTATTTGTTGCTGAACTTTAGAAATTTACCATACTTCTGAATATTCAATAACACTTGTTTGTACATCCTGCAAGTTGGCAGTTTGCATTTGTCCTTCTGTTTGTTTGGCAACAGAATACAGCAGGGGGTAAAGAGTAAAGCAAATGTACAAAGCATTTTTCTTCACTAAGCTTGTAAAGAGTCCATTGCCATGGAATATGGCTGCATATATTTTCAGTGAAGAATGCTGAACATTGTGCCCTTTTTGAAGAGGTGGTTTGAACATTGGGCCAGGAGTCTGCTAGCTCAGGAATTTCTACATTTCACTCCCATGAATGGACCTCTATTGTTCTGTCGATTGCTGTGCTATGACATAAAATACAATGGAAAATAGAAATCTTAGCAAAATGGCAACCTACCTTTATATTTTCATGATCTGCATTCTATGGGGGGACTGTTTGTTGGTTTTCATTTGTTAAATTTGTACCAAAAAAATGTATATTTGGTTTAAATAACCATAAAACCTTTATTATTACTTAAATTTATCACTCAATTGGAGTTGAATGATAATTAAAATTACATTAGTAATTATAATGTTGGTAATATAGTATCTAGTTCGACAGGAGGAAACTTTCTTTGACTTCATCACACAGGCTCTCCTTTACATGGTCTGGCTTCCTTCCTTCGTTACTGTCACTAATTCTGACTGAATTGGGAGGTGACACCCTTCCAGGGGTTACCGCTTTGGGCCACTGCTCCTGCTTCCTGCATCACCTATAGAGGGAATGGAGCTACAGAGGGCGAAGGTGACAGGAGCATCAGTTGATCTGTTCAGCTGCCCTGAAGAACAGAGCTTTCCAGGCACGCTGTCCAGTATGTGAAGTGGGAGCAGAAAAAGAGATGTATTCAAGGCTGCGGATTTGTCTTCTGGTATACTTCCTTCCCTCATCATACCCTAAGCTTCTTCCTTTCTTGTTCTATGCCACCTACATAAGGCATTTTGCATGGTCAGATTGTAATTTGCATAATGCACACATGAAAATAAGTATGCAGAAATATACAGAGGCCGAATATATAAGCAAGGTAGTACACTGGCAGACATCTTCATATTTAAAAACTCCCCCATATTGTCTATATACTGAAAAAAAAGTATTTTAAATCCTTAAATTTTAATTTTTGCTCTCTGAATTTGAAGTCTTTATCAGCTAGGTCATGAAAATAACCAGTCAGGTCTCCTTTTGGTCTGCTAGTATCAAATCTGGACTGCAAATGAAACGCAGAAGCTAATGTCAGAATGTACAATGTGCCAGGGAAATTGATTTTGGGTCAAAATAAATAATTCCAATTGCAAACATTTTTTGAGATTTGAAGGCATTATTTTCTCAAATTTTTACAACCCTTCTTTGGGGGTTTCAAAACAATCGTTTTCCATAAACATGTTTAATGACTTTCCCCTGAATTTGTTATTTTATTTTGTTTAACTGAGCCACATTTTGCAATATTTCCTAGTGCTTTTATGCTATAAAAAAGAAACCTCCCACACCTAGTATGCATAATGTTTTCAAATTAATGTTTCTATGAGAATCTTAACTTTCAATATCCTCTATGTGCTTAAATTTCTGAATTAGAAGTATATTAACATGGTTGTGGCAATCGATTTGTTTTTCTACTTATTTAGAGCACACTCTAATCATTAAGAAAAATCAAATAACAAAGATTCAATTTTCCTTAATAATTTATTTGCATAATTCAGAAGCTACACACTTTGGTAATTAACTGCTTGCAATATGCTAATGCATTCCTAGCACAATGTGAGCAGAGGATCACATACTTGACAGCAATTTCCAGGGCTGCTGACTTGTTTCGAGTAACTTGGCTGCACCAAATTCTAGTGAACATGTTTGTAGTTATGTTATTCTTGGGAGGACCATCAGTACTTTTAGTTCACTGAGTGGTGTTCCATCTCCATCTTGCACCTCAGACCTCTGTGACTGAGTTCTTACCACTGTGATGCATCAGTGTCACCTGTTGCTGTTGACCACCTGATGCTGACTGCCTACTTGGACCGAAAGCTCACCTACCTCACTGAAGAAGTTCTGCTCTACAATCTCAACTGCTGCACTCCCCATCTTTGACATCAATCTCCCATCTTTCTTTCTCATTTTGCTCTTCTTTCTAATTGTGACCGCCAGTCCCTTGATCTCTCTTTATTTCTCTGATGTTCCCCAAATCTGGCTTTACTTGCCTCCCTCACTACTAAGGGACCAGGAACAACTTAGAATCTTCCTTCCTTTAATTCACCTTCACCATTTTCTGACTCATACTAAGTCTCCACAATGACTGTTGGCTGTTGCATTCATAGACAGCAGTTGATATGGAAAACCATAAACCTTCTCTAACAAAGTTCTCTATAAATTCAGGTTATTTAATGTCAGTTTCATCTTATTGATTCTTGAGAATCCTTTTATATGTGGCTTCTTGTCTATTCTTGTCACATTTCCCCCATTTTCCAATCCTCAACTGTGTCAATCTTCTGAAGACATGAGCTCATTCTTTCTTGGTAAAGTAAGAGACGATCTAAAATCAAATTCCTTAAAGTTTCCTAATTTCCATTTTCCTTATCTGCATTATCTTCATATTTGCTCTTTTCCTTCAAAACTAACCCTTTATTGGAATTATGCATCCATCTTGCTAAAATGAATCTTTTCTCCTTTGCTTCCTTTCAAAATTTAGTTTTTACTTTTCTTTTTTATCAAAGTTGCATGTACAGATATTTTAAATTTTCAAGCAATTCTATGAGGCTTGTTATTTTTAAAAAAGAAGACTCTAGTCACCACCCCACCCCCTACACACACACACACACTCTCTCTTCCCTTTATCCAGAGGCAGACAGGTTCAACTCTTTTAGCTGACTCATTTGCTTTACCTCCATATCTCTAAATAATTTATTTAGGATGTACTTGATTTTTTTTACTTTAGTAATTATTTCTAGATCTTCAAGTGAACAAAATGAGGATTTAGCCCTCTTTTGCTCACAACTCTACCCCCGTCACACTCACAACTTCCTCCTTTTTTCATTCTTCTAACAGAGCAAACTTGTGTCTAGATTACTATTTAATGTTTACATGAATACTAATAATACTATGGAAATCTACTCCCAGATGAACCTTGGAGTGTACCAACTACTTTTCCCTTCTTGTGTAATTTTTTGATTACCGTAGATTTAATGTCATTTCCATTTTAAATACATTAATCATTAATTCAATTAATAAACTCCTTGTTAGATAAATCTTCCAAAATGTACAAATATGTCTCATATTTTATCCAGTTTATCCTACTGAAGAACTCTCTCCAGGAGCCTTCTAACCTGCTGCAATCTGGACTGTGTTGAACTAGCCCATAGCTCCCACCCTAGGATCATCCTTTGTCAACATCCTGGGATTCACTTTGCCTCTATCTTGTACTGATCCTCCTCTTTTTCAGACTCTGTGCCTATTTTCATGGTCTACACCCTCATTTTGGCAGAGCACATCTTTCAGAAGCTTCCTGTCTTGCAGGGAACCTACATTGTTCTGAGATTTTGCCATGTGTCACTCAGCTTTCTCTTTAACCTAAAATTTCCACCATTAGAATTACTCTTTGGTTTAGACAAAGGAGCAATTACCTTTAAAATGTATGCTATAGTAGTTCAGAGCGTGAGCTGTGGGATCAAACTGCCCGTGCTTGTCGGGACTCTGCCATAGGCTGTCAGTAATACCTTAAGCAAGGCCCTTCACCTCTGCAAACTCTAGTTTTCTTATCTATAAAATGGGAACAATACTAGTAGCATCTTGATACGGTTGATGTGAGGAACAAATGAGACAATTTGTATGACATACTTAAGACAATGTCTGGCACATACTAACTACTCAACAAGGATTATAAGTTAAGTACTGTTGCCTGGAAGAGCAGAGGTGATATCATAGATAGAAGTTTTTCTTTTTCTAATGAATTCTTGCCACAAATATTAATTTGAGTATTTACTATGTGCCAAGCACTATTCTAGATGCTTGGGATATATCTTTAAATAGCACAGATTAACATTCCTGCCTTCATGCAACTTATATTTTAACAGGAAGAGGCAGAGAATAAACAAAAAAACAAAATTAAAAAGTTATATAATATGCTATAAAGGGGTAAATCCTATTAATTTACCAAAAAACACATTAGCACCCCTGAACAATTTAGTGGGTCAATGAGACAATATTGAGGAAAAGGTTGAAGAGAATGACTGTGAGAAAAGGAACTGAACAGAAGGAGAGACCTATAATACTTGTAGGCTTCAGACTTTCCAAGAGTGAGTATTGTAACGTGGCTAGAGACCTCTGAGAAGCAACAGGAGATTCAGAATGAGCCTGGTTATATTTTGAAAATCACTCAGTTCTTAAAGAGATATTTCACTTATTTCATACATTGCTTGGTTAAGTTTAGGTCATTTGGCTTAACACCTTGGTGCCCAATACAGGTATTTTTGAACTTTCAGTTATTTCCATAGGACTGAGAAATATGCATGGTGGGTTCTGATAACTGGTGTATGTGCACACACACAGATATTTACATATTAACTCTCATTTTTAAAAGAAGAAAGTGGAAGCCTGGTATGACAAAAAAGGTTCCTACAATTGAGTTTCAAGGACGTTGCATTCCATTTTTGTTTCAATGTTTTACACATGTGATCCTGGATTAAAACATCATTAAGTTGATCATTAATTTTCTTATCATGCATTGAGGTAAATAATAGATATAAAAGGGCATTATAAAAAGCAAAGCATACATACCATGCCAATAATACCTGCATTCTTTTTTAGTAACATTAATAGTACTAAGAATACTACAACTACAAAAAATATCATCCATGGTATCTTATTTTTGGAATATATTATAATCAAAGTTTTAAATCAGTTACCTTCATTCAGACTAACACTTCTTATAAAGAAAAAGTT